AGCTACGATTATTTGCGCATCGCCGCGCACTGGACAAAATGGACGCCGCCAAAAGATAGAGAGAGAGAGAGAGAGAGAGAGAGAGAGAGAGAGAGAAGAGAAGAGAGAGAGAGAGAGAGAGAGAGAGAGAGAGAGAGAGAGAGAGAGAGGAGAGAGAGGAGAGAGAGAGAGAGAGAGAGAGAGAGAGAGAGAGAGAGAGAGAGAGAGAGAGAGAGAGAGAGAGAGAGAGAGAGAGAGAGAGAGAGAGAGAGAGAGAGAGAGAGATAGAGAGAGAGAGAGAGAGAGAGAGAGAGAGAGAGAGAGAGAGAGAGAGAGAGAGAGAGATATATTATATATATATATATATATATATATAATATATACAATGACGGCGTCCATGTTGTCCAATCCGTGTGTATGTATGTATGTAATGTATGTATACTCCCATGGTGGGGTGGGGACCATTCGCCCGAGGTATGAACAGCACGCCCTGACCTGGCGTGTCACAGATCACATGCGCTCATTGGTTACTGTCGGCGCACAGTTTACTCAGGAGGGTACTATCCAGTCAAGCGCACGCTTTTTCCCACATCAGGTGGCCATTGTGCTTACACTGTTTAGACAATATTGCTGTTGGATCTGCAACATTCTGCCATGTTGTGGACTGTTCCGTGAACTCAGTCCGGGGGAGTTCGCTTTTGATCCAGTGACATACTTTCATTTGCAATGGAAACAGCAGCGCAGTTTAATCCCACCTTGCGAAAATAAATCCACCCAATATCAATACAGTGAATGACAACTTCACGAGATCATGACTATGGAAGGAGGAACAGGGGCACTGCTACAGGCACTAAGCAACTACGAATGAAAAAACGTAGATATTTTTTAATCGATGTTAAGCCTTCAGGCTCTTGTGTAGCCCACTTGCGTGCGTCTCTAGAAAGTGACAACTTGGGTATGGTGATTACTCAGAAACGCTTACTCGGTAACATTGAAGGTAACCAGAACTACAAAACAGCCACTTCAAGGCACTGACATAGCCTACCATCGGCTTACGAGGCTTACGTTTTCGACGAAATGGAGTACAAGAAAGCTGGAAAAAGCATAATGCCGTCCAAACCTGGTAGACAAAAACAGTCAAAGTATCGTACTACACACGGACACTCGCTGCTGACCAAAGACCATTCCAATGACTGAAAACCCAGAAGTGGTCTCGTGGACGCTTTGTGTAAACTAACCTACCGCAAAGTTTGCTTTTTACCCTCGGACTACGAACACGGGCGGTCTTTGAGCGGCTCTGCGTCGCGTCAGAGATCACACCACCCTGCCCTCCGGTGATGACCTTTGACCTTACGCCGGGCGAGCGACGCCCACCTCCTCGGCATTGTATAAGCTCAGCTGAATAGTGCAGTAATGCGGATAGTGATGACTCTTCGCTGCACCAGTCACAAGGATTATGGTTTTCACATGTGTTTCACCCCAGGAACCACGCAGTGCAATGTTCCGCGGTGTGGTTTGAAATACACTAGTATTTGTCCGATTGTAGACTCGAGGCAAACAGTCAAATACTGATATTTGCGCCATTCGACGACCACGGACGCCTCTGTCAAGTGTGGATGGTAGTATGTGCCACACTGGAGTGCAGACGTGCAGATAAGTTTATTGGGTTTGACACTTGTTTGATGTTCGTCGTTGTCATGCCAACAACCAATGCGTTTTCATGGCACCAACAGCTATCTCCCTGGGACTTCTAGCATAGCAGCAGCGATGGATAGCTCAGTGTCAAATCCAGTGAATTCGTTTAACGTAGACCATAATGTTAACACTGGGGCTCCACACAGGCTCAGGAGATCTGTAAACATCAGTGCAAAGCTAGCAGAGGCGCTCACTTTCGCTACAAATGCCGATTGTGTAATCGTGCAACAGTAGATGTCACATACACGCTCTGGACAGCAAAATCCTAAAACCCATCGATTGATCCATCACTGACTGAGGTGAATCATTCTTGCCCTACTGGGGATTTTACAGACGTGAAATGAACTCCCATGCGGGACCTTAATGAACACTCCATGACTTTCTGCATCATTCCTGCTATTCTTTACACAGGTTTGAGCATAAGCTAGAGCATTATAGGGGTATTTCCCCAGTAGAAAATTTCCAATGGTTTTCAAGGTTTTAAGATTGATTGCTGGAGAGATCTGATGCAAATAATGTGCACGCATTTTTGAATTGAGGAAACTGGAAGACATACGCTCGTTATTACGCATATCGGTTTGCTTTCACTCCTTTACCTCCAGCTGTTGTATGACAAGGTCTTCACTGGTACTTACCACTTTATTTTCAGGAAAGGAGATTTGCGTCATAAACAAGAAAAGGCGGGGATATGTTCACCCACTTTGTTGTAATAGTTTAGCCTTAGGCTCATGTTGATGCATGAACATCATTGGTTTCCCAATGTTTGATCCGACAATTTGGTCCATCAATTTTTTTTTGCTTCTGAACCACGGATGTCCTCCAGAAAACATCCATTCCATTGAGGATCCTACAACTGGAGGGACCTGAGCGTCCTTTTGTCGAATGCCGCTCAAGACCTCAAATTGAAAACACGCAAGCATATGGTGCCAAACGGCACGTACAGATCATTCCAAAGTTAAAACGCAGAGTAAATGCATTGCAACATACGCAAAACGGGACCTGTGATCAGCTAAACCGTCCAGCCTATGTCTTTGTCCACTTCGCAGCGTCCCTTGTTTTTGTGATACTTAATCGTCACCAAAGCCATCGGGCGACCTAGCTGGAGTTTGATGAAAGGCCGAACGCACCGTACCAAGCCTTTAAAGAGGGGTCGTAGTTATGCCAACTTCACACGCGTGTGGTGAAAGCTATTTTGGAGTTTGCGCGCTTCTCAATAAATCATTTCAGCTTCGAACCTGGGTTCCTGTTCAGCTGCTGTGCGCCTATTGCCGTGCTATCAGCAGACCGCGACTAAATGTCAAAAGACAATACTACGAAGCCGAAATGCAGAATATATCGGACGCGATCCAAGCATCTACAGCGAGGACCGCTCAATATTGTTCATTGAATCATTTACAGCGAGGATCCCCAATATTGTCCACAATGTCGTTTCTTACATTATTGATAAACAGGACGAGTTGAGGACAATGAACTGTTTTCGGCGCAGACGCTTAGACGATGAGATGAGCTTCATGGACCAAGTAGTCTATTTTTGTGCTCTTGACGGGGATAAAGAGACATAGATGCGTCCTGCTTGTCCACCTGCCTTTCAACTGGACGTAATGCGTTTCTGTAAGCTCTTTCCCCATGGAGAATCATTTGTTAGCAGTATTTGAGACGTTTTATTGGATCTGTGTAGGCATTCGGTTCGGATAAACTATGTTCCAGGAGGTATGCTTTTCAATGACAGCTATCTGGCACATGAAAGTATATTACCTTTACATCCTGGACACACATTACAAGGATACACACATAAAGTATATTACATTTACATCCTGGACACACACACATTACAAGGATGTAAACGTTGTACAATAGGCAAATGGTAGATTTCATCATTTTTTATAAAACGTAAGATGTTATCACATTGAGCATAACGTGTGCAGCCCGGAAGTAAGAAAGCTCAAAAATGTAAAAGCTATAAAAACCGCTTGGGAAGACCCTGAAACATGGTAGTGGAAAAAGTCAGAAAACCGTCAGGAAAAAACCGCATCGGGTAATCCGGTACAATGGCGCAGGCTCAGCTCAAAATCCAAACAGAAATGCGAGGATGTTTGGCAACAGAAATGGGGGTACTGAACCGCCTTTAATGTCATTCATGCAGCTTTGACGGAAACAATTTAAACACAGGTAAAATCACTGGTGCAACTACGCTTCTAAGATTGACGGGCAATCAAGACTGGAGAGGTCGATCTAGAAGCTGGGAGACAGCCTGCCCCGGAAATGACATTTTGAATTGGGGCAAACTGGTCGAGCAAACATTCCAATTGCAAACTTGGAGGGAACAAGTGCATTTTTTGTAAAAAAACGAAACAAAACGAAACACTGGAAACAAATCCCCAGCCACCCCTGCCCAGTTGCTACATACGTGGTTTAAACAAAGTAGTAGGCAGTCAGCTTAGTCATCGTCTCCAAACCGGTCGGCCACCCCTGGCTGACCGTGTAGCCTGGTCCGTCACCCCTGGAACTACCTGCCGCGGCAGCGCC